AGGGGATATTGTGAATCTAAGAGATAGTGAGAGGTAAAGGGCTGTGAATGATCATCATGTTAGAGTGTTTTTTCTTAGTACAATTCGCGTGCGCATGAGCAGTAACTTGGTGCCGTGGATTTTATTTTGTAGGTCCATCGTCCATGTCTATGCCACCACGCGTTCTTTGATGTAGCCTTTTGTTCTTTAAATGTACTTTTAGCTTGAAAAATTATTAAATTAATTTTTTTAAAATTTTAACGTACTAATAAAGAAAACTATTTTAAAATTATTTTTAAAAAACCTCATATTATATTCTTAAACATCATTATGTATATAATATATGAATCTGAATGCATTACACAAATTATTTGGAATATTTATAAAAAATTATTTACAATTAACTGATTTGGACTTGGATAATTGTTATTTTTGTAATAAATTTGATACTTGAAGATGTTTAATTTTTTTTGTTCTTCTTCGGTTTTAGTTTCAAGAATTAAAATAGAAAATATTGAATATTCTAAGCAAGTTAAATTAAAAAAACATACTGTAAACTAAAGTCTCGTTGTAAAATAAAGATTCATTAAATCAGAATTTATATAAAAAGTAATTTAAAGGCCCGTTCAATTTAAAAAAAATATAAATCGAACCAATTTGTTTGGTTTGGTTATTCAATTTTATTCGATTCTAAATTTTGAAAAAAAAAAACAATTGATTCTACGTTGCTCGGACCAATGTTCATCCTAATGAACACGGACTCTACTAAATACAATATGTTAATTAATCTATAAGCAATATCTATCTCAGTGCATTATTATATTATATTCTTGATGTCTACTAATTAATTAGGTTTTCATTAATGATATAATCCATCTTTAAAAAATAATAATTAATGAGGGCAATGCATTAATGCAATCAATCTCTCTCTACAATAAATATAAAATAATGAACCATAAGTTCACGAGATATTATTTTTATTTAATTTTTATTTTTATTTTCATTTTACTTTTAAATAAGAAGTTTGTTGATATGTTACTAAGAAAAGAAATCTTATAGCTAAAAAAAGTAAAATATGCGTGTTTGAGAATATGGTTGTAAATGTTTTTTTAAAGTATTTTTCATTTAAAAAAGTATATTATTAATATTTTTTAGTTTTTAAAAATTATTTTTAAAATTAGTATATTAAAATAATTTCAAAATATCAAAAACATATTAATTCATAACAAAAAAAAAATTAACAATATTTTTAAAATGCAGTGCCAAATATATATAGTTGAATAATACCATGCAAAACATAGTGAAAACAATTTTTCTTGTTAGTGAAGTGAATTTCATTAATAGTAATTATATTTTATAATGGGCATAGGATTTGAATGGTTGAACATGAATAAATTGAACATCTTCTCATCAAGCCATGTTATATTCTAATAGTTATAATTATTTTATTTTATCTATGAGTTCAACGGCAACTTTCTCTAAAAGAAACCTTATGAATATATAATGAAGTTCTCACTGATTTGTAACCTTCAATTTCGTATCTTCCAAATGACAAGACCATACTAGTTTTGTACTGCTAACATGATCCTTTTTTTGGAGCTACAAAGATAGAGTAAAAATATTTTTTCTCCCTCTGGGTCTTGTCTCGAACCATGGCAAGTGTATCTATTTCAATCAGCATCAACCTTTTTCAAAAATAGATTATTTATCATTTCATGTTGTGCTTTATAGATGATAGATCGATATGTACTATATATAAATTTGACGAGTGTACATATTTTTTATTTTATATATTTTTTTTTAATTTTTCTTAGTAAATATCCATGAAATTTACAATAATATATATATGAAATTCATGGCATTGGGTGTGGTGTTCACACGCACGGTCGAGGCTTGGGCTTGTGTTGGGCGATGACCTCAGTCGTATCTGCCTCTGGGGTCCATAGCAATAAAGTAACATTATATGGTTTGGAATAGGAAAAGACAATTTTATAGATCATCATCACTGATCTATAAATATATGTACATGGCACATCATCATCCACTCTTTGATGTATCAAACCTTTTCTTTTTTATAAATAATCATCCACTCTTTGATGTATCAAACCTTTCTTTTTTATAATAAAATAAAATAAAATAATGTTATTATATCTAATTTAGTTTTGTGGGTTTATTTAGTAATTCACCAAATCTAGTGAGACATGATTTGGGTAGGGTGTTATGTCATGCTAAATTGGAAGTTGACACGAATAATATGGTGGATTCAGCTCTACTCTGAATCTGATTGACCTAGGAAAAAAATTAACCGGAATTTTATTTCATTTTTTTTAGTTTTAAAATGAAACATTTTTTAATATTTTTTTTAAATAAAATATTAAACAACTTGTTGACTTGAGTGACCTAGATTTTTTTCGGGTTTAATAACTTTGTTGGGGTAAAAACTCAATTCATAACTCCACGTGTAGGGCAGATTCAATCTGATCATCAAGATGGTAGCTAACCCCAATCATCATAGAAGAGGGGAAAATAATAATTAAAGGGACTCGGGTGGGACCTTAACCATCTGAAAATCTCCCAAATCTCCTCCTGCCCACTTGATGCTCTGGAAAATTTAGTAGCCGTCAACTTCTGGTAAATGACGAAAATGGGTCTTAACCTCGATATTGGGAAAAGGAGTTCTACTGTATATAAAGAGTAGAGAAAAGGTATTTTCTTGCTGTTGAATAAATACTGTTTGCGTAACCTGAGATAGTGATTGGATTACTTAGATTACTACCAAATTATTAGATTAATTTCTACATTATCCGTTAATTTAAGTTTACTGTTTTTATTAAAATAATAATATTTTTTTATATCAACCTAATTAAATTTAATTAGATTAATCAAGCCGTTAAAACATGACCGGAACAACCGAATCTTGTAAAATAAATGTTTGATTTTGCTCAAAACATGCTCTAAATTTTAAGTTCTTTGGATTAATTATTAGCATAAATGGAGTTTAACATGAATGGAAGGTAATTACTAAATAGTGATTTTTTCAAGAAAGTGGTAATTGGTTAACAGCAAGGATTGTTGCTTTTAATAAATACAATGGTCCCTGCAACATAGAATCTTCCTTTATAGATTTGGATAAATCTAGGTTTTCTTTTGCAATGGTTTGTTTTTCAACTAAAAATGATGTTTTTTTTAATATTAATATATTAAAATCATTTAATATTTTTTAAGTAGAAAATAATTTAATAGCAAAAATATCACAAAACCAAATATAATTAGATAAGTATTAGAAATATCAAAACAGTGTAATAATAGAAAGATTGAATTTTAACTTTTTTTTTTTTGTAGAAACTTGATTTTTTTAAGTTTACATTAGTTTTTTTAGTATTTTTATCATATTGATTTGTTGATATTAAAAATAAATTAAAAAAATAAAAAAATTATTGAAATACATTTTTAAATAAAAATTAATTTTAAAAACAAACAGGCCGTTTGAAAATTTTATAACCAAACCCTCGTGCCAAGCAAATTACAACCAATAAATATAAATAGATTTTATAAAATCTAAATAGGTTTTTTAAGATTTTCTTTACACTCGAGAGATGAACATTTTTTGTTATATACTTTTATTTATGGGCTTACCATTAAATGAAATTGAGCCTTAAAAAGGATAGTTATCAGATTCAATTAAAAAAAAATCCTGTCTATTGAATTATTAAATTAATTTTTGATATATTTATCCAGGCACAATCCATTTTATTAAAATAATAATGATATTTTATTTATTTATTTTAATTTTATAAAATGCTAGCTTGTTGGGTGTAGATTGAATTTACTCTAGACAACCAAATTACTAACAATCTAAATAAATATTTTTTAATTAAAAATATATCAAAATAATATTTCCATGAATGACATCAAATATTAAAACTATAAAAATACACTCATAAAAAAAAAAGAAACGACATGGCTTTTCTCCCCTTGAAAAACGTTTCCCGAAAAGAAACGCCAATTGGTACGTTTCAAAGAAACGCAAGGGGTAAACCTAGTATCATTGAACGGTCATGCAAGTTTTAATATAGTTTTTATGTGCTTCGCTAGAAAAAAGAATTAAGAATTATTATCAGCCCGCTGTGTGGTCTAATCAAGTAAGCAACTGGAAATGGGGGCTCAAAGCGAGCGTGACAAAGAGTGTTTTGCACGTGCTTTAAACACGCTTGTTTGCCTACCACATGAATAGTGCATGGACTGGCCTTCATAAACACTTTGTCCGTATCCATCAACCCAGTTCATAAATAACTTTAAATTCAATTAATAATGTATTGTAATTTCTGTATTTTAATAAAATATTAAATCACATAATTATATTGAATTAAATTAAATTATTTTAAAATACTTAGGATAATAAATTGAATTGACAATCTTAAATATTTTAATATTAATTCAAAAGAAGAAGAAGAAAAGTTTCGTGCAAAATAATAACATAACTTACAAGAAAGAAAAGATATTGTAAATTTTGATTTAACATGCTGGTATTTTTAAAATATTATTTTTAATAGATAATTATACTGTTTAGAATATTTGAGAAAACAAATTGAATCAATAATCTTTATTATTTTACTCTTACTTTAAAAAGCAAAAATTAATAGCATGCCTTATAAAAACAAAAATATATGATTTACTCCCAAAAGTTTTTTATAAATTGAAATTAATTTAAAATTCAATTTAATATTCTAAAATTCATTTCAATCACGAATTTACAGGCTGAAATAGACACAATAGTTGGTATTTAAATTTAGTACACACTGGTAATCTTTTGCTCCATGAGATTGCATTGATGAGAGAAAGATTTGGTCTTTAGCAGAGTTTAGGAGGGCAAAAAGAATTTGTAAAGAATTCTACTTTGGTTACCAAAATCCCATTTCACAGATACAGAGACGAGAAGCCATAACTATAGAGTTTTGTTGCTTATATTAACCACCCTTTCACGAGCTTCAACGCCCCATTTCAGTAGAGGAAAATTAATCAGAGAGAGAGAGAGAGGGAGGGAGCAAAGAAGCAATGTTAGCAGCTGAGAATGGACTCAAAAGTGACCCAAGATTACAAGGCATCTCTGAAGCTATCAGGGTGGTGCCTCACTTTCCTAAACAAGGTTTGAATTCTTCCCTCGTTTTCTGTTTTCTTTTTTTCTTTTTTCTTTTTTTTCTGTTTGGTTGTTTAACTTTTGTTGTTGTTGTTTGACAGGGATAATGTTTCAAGACATAACAACTTTGTTGCTGGATCATAAAGCTTTCAAGGACACAGTGGATATCTTTGTCGATCGCTATAGAGACATGAACATTTCTGTTGTTGCTGGTAACTTATCAGCCAACCCTTGTTCTTGCCCTTTTTCTTCTTCTTTTTGTGGGATGGCTTGTCTTCTGAAAATGGTTAATTACTGGGACAAAGGACGATGGGATTATGGGAATTGGTGATTTTTTTGGTGTTACATGTATGGATTTTGGCTTTATTTAATTTTTTTTTCCCTTCACCGGGGTGTTGACTTTGGTCTAAAATTGCATAAATAAAACGCTGTTTCTAGATTTACTAGAAAAAGTTTTTGGTAAGATTTTTGAAGGGTCTTTATCATGTAAGGGTTCTAGTACAACTGGAAATTTCATGGTTAGCTGAGAAATTTTGTTGACTAGCCCTGCAGGGAAAAAAAGCTGCTTGATAATGATGTTTCCATATGACTGTTGTTTTTCATGTAGGAGTTGAAGCTAGAGGGTTCATGTTTGGCCCAGCAATTGCCTTAGCTATTGGTGCAAAGTTTGTTCCTTTAAGAAAACCCAGAAAATTGCCAGGTACTACTGTGCTTAATCTGGAGCTCTAATGGTGCTTCTGCTGTAATTTAGTCTATATGTTGATATTAAGGAAAGGGGTAGTAGCTTGTTTTGGTCCATCAGCTTCAATACTATTACTCTCTGAAGCAAATTTCGTGGAAGAAAAATTGGCGCATATATGCCAGAGGCAAAGCATTTAGTTTTTTTTTCTTTTTCCCCTGTATATCAAATCACTTTGTAAAGTTTTGTATTTCATGTCTAATTTCCTTAATATCAACATCTCTGATATCTATTGGTTTGTAAATTGATGTATTGTCTCAGAAGTTTACACAAGGAATCTTGTTATAATTGAGGGTTTCACAATGCTGAGTCTGCAGGTGAAGTGATTTCCGAAGCATATGAGCTGGAATACGGAACTGATTGTCTAGAAATACATGTTGGTGCTGTTCAGCCTGGCGAACGTGCAATTGTAATTGATGATTTGGTAGCTACAGGAGGGACCTTGTCAGCAGCAATAAGCCTCTTGGGTACTGGCCTCCTCCATCTCGATCCTATCAGAACCATTTCCACCTCTATAATTATGTTTACTAAGACCTTGTTTACTCTTTGCATAATGCATTTCATGCTGATGTTCATGTTTTCGCAGAACGAGTGGGGGCTGAAGTAATTGAGTGTGCTTGTGTGATTGGGGTGCCGGACGCGAAGGTAATGGCCGAAGTACTTTCTATTGTGGTTTTTTCCCCCCTAATAAGACTTCCATGATAAATGAAAAACGTTTTGGTCGGATTCTTTCCGAGAAAATTTTAACGTGTTTCATACCAAATGACATGCCTTTCAGGGACAGTGCAGGCTCAATGGCAAGCCACTTTATATCCTCGTGGAGCCACGCCAAACTGATAATTGTTGTTGAGGATAGGTACTATACCTCTTGCCTTACCATGAATCATAAACAAAATTTAAGAACAGAGATTGCATTCTTTTTTTTACGAATGTATTGACAGGAAAAGCTCAATCAATAATTACACTCCAGTCTTAAATTCTGGTCACTGCCATATTGGGTACTGAGTATGGATATTTTCTCAATCTTTTGAGAAAGATTTTGGCCGTTGTCGGTTCTTACCTTCTTCAAATCAAGGATGGAATGAAATGAACAACATCTAATATTGAGGCCACTGTTGGCTTTATATTCTTAACCACTGCCAAAATGTTCTGCATTTGAACTTGATAATAATCTAATTTCAATCATTTGCAGGTCTGTGAGGATGCTATGCGCAGGCCGACTTTGCCGAAAAAGATGACACCTGAACCATTGGTGATGATGTGTTGATATGTTTCTCTGCCAAGTTTCAAGCTGCTGGGCATACCTCCCTCACAGTGCTCATCCTGTATCATTCTTTTTTCATTGTGGGATCTTGAATCATATTTAGGCTGTTATGACAGTTTTGAAAAAAGAAAGCAGAGACTGTTTTAGATGTTGTTAATAATGATTAAATGATTCATTGTCCTGGCTTTTCTTTACGGCCCCCTTTATGTCTCATGGGAAATTTGATGTCTGGCCATCTATATGTGAAAATTTGACATGCTCTAGACTTGACATCTCAAGCTCTTAAGTTTGGTGCTCCCATGTGATGCAGCAGAAAAGGTTGGGCTTCTAAAAGCTATTATACCTTTTTCTATAATTGAACCATTCTACTTCTAAATTTTCTTTGCAGCCAAAAAAGATGAAAGAAAAGAGGCCAGGCCATCCTTTTCTATCATATGATTGACTTGTTACTGCCTCGAGTTTCCCTGCTAGAACAAACATGGATAGGAAACAGGAGTGTGGGGTTCACTTTAGATGGAAAGTTGAGATTCTTTGCTTCTATTTTCTCCCATTTATAGGCCTTTGCCCCCACTTGATAAAAGATGGAATGAATCATCTTATGTGTTCATAGAGCCATGTTATGCCCGTTTTGGCCATCAAGCATCTTAGAATCGACTCAAGACGTGAGATTGTTCATGGTGACTGAAAATACAATTCCCGTTTCTGCTCTTCCAGAGATTTGGTCACCAATCCTGACTTGGTTCGGTTCTTGCTATTGTACCCTGCTAAAGTGATGGTTGACGGAGTTTATGACCGCGAGGTAATGTTTGTTTGATCATCTCAGGATAAAAAAAATATACATACGCATTGAGAATGAAAAACATGTTTTTCGAAAAGAGAAGAAAAGGAAGACATTGAGAATAAAAACGTGTTATGTCAATTATACTTTCAAAACAAGAATCACATGAGACATGTTCCTGTGTCTTCACCGTTCAATCTTTTCTGTCCCGCGATGGTAACTGAGCTGGCACCATCTTCTTATACCGTGACGGTAATCAAATGCTAGGTTTTGACCCATTTGACCCAGCCTATGATACAGGCTTCGGTCACCATTTTTGGTGGAAATCTTGACCTTCCTAGCCTGCCAGATCCGTGTTGAAACCCTAACCCACGTGCTCTAGAATCTGGAGTGAAATTGGAGCGAAATTCACTTCAATCATGAGAAATGAGAAATTACAGCTTGGACCAAATTTTTTGCATCGAAAGCACAGCTTATTTATCTACATAATGGGTGTGCATACAGAGATTCTCATACGAGGGAAAGTTTGAACAGTAATAAAACAGGCATGTAATCTCTTTATTTGGCTCCTTGAATAATATTAACTCTCATTATTCCAGCAAAATATAAAAGATACAACACTGGAAAAGGAAATTTGAGTCCACTGTTTGTGAAACCACAAAATTACACGAATTTAAATGCTGATTTTGCGAGATGAAACTGTTCAAAACAGATTATCCATTACCTGTAATGCTAGTATGGTCTCGAAAGAAGCCTTTTACTAAAAAAAAAATTGTTAACAGTGTTCGACTATACCTTTTATCTTTCTACATCAAGATTATTGCTTGAAGGAGCCTCGTCATTACTACTCCTACAAATGCTGCCCATTTTAAGAGCATGACGCATAATAGAGTTCACCTGTTTCCTCAACTTAGCATTATCAGTGAAGATATTTGCCAGCATCTCCCTCACTTCATCATCTGTTGCTCTTGTATCCTTGTTAGGAGCATCATCTTCAAATAATAGTTGTGCCTAATCAATAATTTGGGGGAAAACGTTGAAGGTAAGTCATAGAAAAGGAATCAATGAAACCTACTTTTAAATTTATATTCAAAATGCGCTCACAAATAGTTAATAAAGCTTTGATAGTCTTAGTAGAGGTGATCAAGTCTAGGAATCATTTTAACTAATGACAAGAACCTAAAGCCAACGGTCCTAAGCAGGGTAGATTCTGTATAGCCAATGTATATGTGTGCGTGTGTATATATCTATGTACTTGGTAGATATGTTTAGCAATGAGATATAGACGGGAAATAAAAAGTACCTCTGCTAGTAGATGGCTGATTTGATCATCAGATGTGGTCAGCAAATCTAAAGCATCTCCCAGAGAAGAGTTCACAATAAAATTATCTTCACTGGACAAATTGCCGTTGCATTCTTGCAGCTGGTCATACAGGATCCTGCAATCATGTAGCAGTTTCTTCCGAGTAATTTTCTCACGCTCCTTCATTTCTCTTTCCTCGTAAAGAAGTTTCTGAAAAAACAAAGCATAGCATAGAATCAGTGAATATATATCACAGCTAGCAGTTGGGTTCAAATGCAAAATATCAATTCTGAGTCTAAATATTTTTTTAAAAAATGATAAAATTTCAGGAATGCAACTGCAAGGAATAGACATAACAGCAAGATTAACAATAAAAAAAATATAACAGCAAGACTTTTGGGATGACTGATGGTGCAGTAAAACATATCTATGTACTGAACAAAAGCAAGATATACTTCCAAAATCAATTAGTTAATATTTTAATTCAATAAAAAATAGTGTTTGAAATTTGACTTGGGACATGATAACTAGCAGAAGCAAGCGATGTGTTTGAAATTTGACTTGGGACCTACCTAGTTGAGTGAGTTGTTATTATATGATGTAGCTTCCCATAAGAAGAAAATTTGTTTAAAAAACTTGATATATAGAAATGATATACTACCTCAACTTCAGATTTTTCCTTCAGTGATTGACTAAGCTCTTGCTTCAATGTTTTCTGGGAACTTTTGAGGGATTTAAATTCTTTAGCAAGAAATTTAAAATCTGCTTTTGATTTCGCTTCAAGCTCCTCGTATCGCTTGGACAATTCCTCCAGTTGCTTTCTAGTAGCATCCAACTCCTCAAGTGCTATGTCTTTTTCATGGTCAGTAGGTGCCATTTGAAATTCTGTACTCCGCTGCTCACCCTGTAATGGTTACATGAATCATAATTTGAATTTAAGGCAATGAAAGGACCATCTTTCCATTGACGTGGGGACTTTCCAAAAGAAAGTAAGGAAATAAAAGAAAACAAAAAAGGAACTTCAAAACCAGAATGATGGCTAATACGTAACCTCTTTCGACTTCAATTTCAATTCCATTTCCAATGATTTCCGTCTCAATTCCTCCATATCCCACTGCATTTGGGTAAGCCTTTCCCTCTCAATTAAAATAGCTTGCTGCATGGTTTCTTTATTTTTCTGTTTTGCAGTTTCAAATTCCACTTCCAGATCCTTGACCTGAAGAGACCCAGTCAGCGAGTAATATAAAGAATAACAGAGTCTGGTGCAGGAGTGAAACATCTAAAGACATGTCAAAAGTTGGATCTTGGAGAGTTTAATAGCTATTATACTCTTGCATACCCTAAAACTGTCATGCAGAATTAAGCAAGAAGTCCAAATTGCATCCGTTCAAACATGCAATGAAAAGATGGCATCTGGAAAGCTTATTCAATTAACACTGACATACCTTTGTTGTCAGGTAATCTTTTACAGCTATTTCCTGATTCAATCTTGATACGAGGTCTTCCATGTCTGTTTTCGCTGTGACTAGCCTCCGCTGCATCGTTAACAGAACCCTGTTCATTTTATGACGCTGATCCAAAGGAAGTACTATGTGTGCATCACCTGAAAACTGCAGTTCTGTATTACCAAGAATTTCTGTAGAACTCGAAATCTCAGCAACTCCTGAAAGGTCAAGATATCCATCACCAGATGAATTTGGTATCCCAGAGTTTGATATTTCACTTCCTCGTAGAGAACTTCCATCACTTTCAACGCTATCACAAGATAACTTTCTAACATGACCAAATACCTTACCAGGCTCTGGTTCAGAGAAAAGTTCCATCCCATTTCCAGTAAGAAATGAAGCTTTAGATGCATTTCCATTATAACCATCTTTCCCTATAACATTGTTCATATGTCCACCATGTGGTGTATGCCTAGGAAAACCTTCTAGTTGCTCTAGAATGGTCTGTCCCATAAAAAGTCCCTCATCAATGCTCGTCATACCATACTTCACAAGTTTTCCTATTGGACCGGTCAAATCTTCATCCAGTGCTAGATCCCCCAAGCCAATTCCAAAATTGCCATCTCTTGCTAGCTTTGGTGTTCCAAGATCAGACGTCTCATAAACAGTATCACTGCCATAATCTGATGCAATTGATGAACTGGTAGCAAGAGAAGAGCTTAAATTTGGAGGTATCTGAAGTGAGGAGGTTGAACCATCATCGGTAGGACTTGCTTCTGATGACTGCTGATTTCCATCTTGGAATGCTGAAAAAATTGGTAGGAAATGTTAAGCAAGATTCAATTCTTAAGGGGAAAAAACCCTCAAAGAGTTGAGACTCAAGTAGATTATACACTTTCACCATAACTACAAAAGAAGTTAAGATGTTTTAAGGTAAATTTCATGCACAACAATGACACATACAAGACCTCGCAGCAGCTTCTAATTCAAAATAGGATGCCACTGCCACACTTCTTGATAAATCAATGTCAGACAGCAGTTTTGTCATCCATTGCTCCAAAGAGTACCTTCTCTGCAACAAAAATAAGTCTTCTAAGAATATTAGTCAGTTACAAGTGAACAAAATAAAGTTCTCATTAAACGCTTATTTTGTAAGCTGGATTTTGGTATAGTTGCAATATAGTGAAAACTTTAGCTTACAAAATAAGTGTTTACTATGCAAGAATGGCAAATATATAAAATTATATACCTTTTGATTTCTACAATGTCAAAATCAGCAACTTAAACACAAAATTCTTCCAAACAATTTTGTTAAGATTTTATCAGCTTAGATTTCTACACAACAGTTATGGCAATTTGCTCTGTAGAATGAAGTGGCATTAACAATAAGCAAAATTCAAGAGCAATTATTGCACAAAAAAAATGGCATTCAAAACATAATCTTCTTGTGTTTCACAAATAATAGGAAAACAGATACAAGAAAATGCCACCTGCACCACTAAAGAAAGAAAACAAAAGATGCAGTAACAAAGTCCAATCATTTTCTGTACCTCTTCCAGGAGTGCCCTGCTTTTCAAACGTAGAAGTCCCTTGGGTGGAGCTGGTGGGATATTTTTCCTGGGAAATGCCTTCTTAAGCTGTAAAAGATAGCAAATAATATAAGAGCATTGTTCACAGTTTTATACAGTTACAGGTACTCACTCAAGGCAAGGGACAAGACTTAGTTCCCATAAAGAATGCCTGATGCATTAAGTAATTCAAGTACACTGAATTAACAAAGTAAAATTATTAATGTAATAAAATGCAATAAAAATTTTGTACTTACATCGGTAAATAACTTCATAAAATCATTAAATCTTTTCAACACTCCACGGATGGTTGTAGCCCCTTCTGGTGATTGTACACCCACCTGAACCCTGTAAAACTGTCCCTTAAGAATGTTAGCATAAGATGTTTGAAACTGGCACATAGACATTACCATATACACAGAAGTGTGCGCAAAACATGCAGATACACATATCCAAACTCAAATGAGCATTTCGCAAAGGAATTAATCAAAAATAATGTTTACATATTATGCACTTCCTAAAAAAAGAAAATTTGGATATATGAAGTTAATGAGGGTAATTTTGACCAGAAGAATATAACACACTGATATAGCAAGAACATAAAGTAATTCTTGCACTGATGGAATGAATTATGCAAATAGAAAAACAAGGAATGCCATTAACTTCTTTCACTACAATAGCATAATTTGGAAGCTTCAACTAGTTTTTCCCTAAAGTAAGGTAAACCATGGAACCAATTGTCCATATTGTTAGGAACATCCTAAAAATAAATAACCAATCTAAAGTATTTTACAACAAATCCATTACTGGATCTGAATAATATTTACATTACAAAATAAAGTAATGCAATTTGAGTACCACTACAGGATCTGAATCTCTTGATTTTGGGAGCACGACCCAGGATGGTATGGTGACACAGTAACTCCATCCCGTTCTAGGATCATGGGGCCATACGGTTTCTCGCCCACTCTGCAAAAGAACATTTTTTATCCTTCCATGTATTGAAAATTTTTATTGCAAGCGGAAATAGAATTATAGCTACTAAATTGCATTGTTATAGCAAATGACAGGGCAATTATGAAAGAAAACCTGAGAAAAAATGAAATGAATATACCAGAGTCAAGAAAGTGAAAAACCAAAAACTACATAAGAGACGCAAATATAGTTACCCCTCTCTCCGTAAAGAACATTTCTTTAAATATTTCATATTTCTCATCAGGTATTTAAGCATAATTTGTGGTTAATAAAAACCATTTCCATTTACAATCTCTAGACTGGTTGACACATGCATGCTGTACTACTGGCCGAAGCATGAGTCTTGATTCCAACAATGAAAAGGCCAGCAAAATTAAACGAATAAATTGCCAGAAATCATATTTGCTTTAATAGATGCATCAAGTTCTTTCAAATGCCATACTAAATCTACGGAGCTATCCATGTTTCTAAATACACTAAATACGCGTGATCAAAATATAACACACATGCCAAATTAAATCAACTAATTAATCATGCACTGAATTAAATGCACGGAGATCTTTCAATAATGATTCCAAATGCGCAGAGTTCTTCCAATCACGATACAATTAATGAGATGATTCTGCATGATGTCACATAGAATGCCAGTCCATTTCGCATAAATTAACTTCCATACGATTTATCATCATTTTCCATGTGCAAAAGACAGATAAATTAATTCTAATTGCAGCTTAATTACCCCCCTAATCAAACTCGGTGTTGACAAGATCAATCGATCAAATCGCAATTCAGCGATAACTTACCAGTCCATCCTGAGCTAATACTTAATTAAAAAAATAACATAAAATTCATGCAAGTCCACTAAAAGAGAAATTATTAAACTCAAATGAAAACGAATTATCTAATTGAACATGCAGAAATTGAAGTCGTTGACAATTTTACCCATTTTCGAGGCGGAGGACTCCAATCCATCCCTAACGGCAACGGCGAAGTCCCGTCGTGCCTGTGCTTCGGTGGACTCCGCTGCCTCTGCATCATTTTCTCTCTCGAGAATTCCCCCCCCCCCTCTAAAAACTAGGGATTAGCGGAAATGGACTATGATCTTTCTGATTCCATCAACAAATCACGCAATAAAAACTTCAATTTACAGTGTTCAAAAAGTATCTTTCTCTCCGGTTGAGATCGGAGAAACACGAACCGGAGAGATCGCCAGAAGGTGATCGTACAATTTTATTTCATGAATCGGATTTTTTTTCTGGAAATAAACGACGACGATGGAGCGAAATAATTGAGGGGCAAGGTAAACGTGACTATAATGAGCAGAGAGTGTGGTGTAGCACTGTAGCGTGTGAAATACACACCTCCTGCCTGCTTCGATTCTTCTTTTGTTTGTTGTGTCTCTTTTATCTTTTCTCTTCTCTGGAGAAGGAAAAGGGAAAGACACAGAGTCGTCAGTATCGAGTTCACTAAATTGTACGGTGCTATGTTGTCTCAATTAGATTCTTCGTGTCTCTTTTTCAGCACATTAAAATATTTAAAAACTTTTTTTAAAAAAAGAAAAACACTAATTTGAAGTTAAAAAATAGAAAAACAGCAGATTAGTTATAACGGCAAACAGATATTTGTTTTCGTGTTCACATCGTAAATCTTTTACAAAATATTTTTTATTTTAAATTAATTTTTTTAATTGTTTTAGTATGTTAATATCAAAATTAAATTTTTAAAAATAAAAAAATATTATAATATATTTTTAAATAAAAAATATTTTAAAAAATAATTATGATTATAATATAAAACACTACATGACAGCGTCAATAACACTATATATAAAAATGAGTTAAAAAAATTAATTTTTTAAGTTAATATAAAAATAAAAATAATAACAATAAAGGAAAAACATAATTTAAAAAAATAATAAAATAATATATTTTTAGTTTATTGTGTGTTTTAACTCTAATATGATATTAAAATATTTTAAAAAATAATTATGATTATAATATCAAACACTAGATGACAGCCAATAACAATATAGATAAAAATGAGTTAAAAAAATTAATTGTTTAACTGAGTATAAAAATAAAAATAATAACAATAAAAATGAGTTAAAAAAATTAATTTTTTAACTTAGTATAAAAATAAAAATAATAACAATAAAGGAAAAACATAATTTAAAAACATAATAAATTGTGTGTTTTAACTCTAATATGATATTCTGGATGTCAAGATCCTGAAGTGCAATAGTTTATCATTCCTTAATTTTAAATCACGACATGCCATTAATTTTTTTTTAATTAATAACTTTGTAGCTATTGAGGTTTTAAAATATAATAATTATTTAATATTATGTTTTTTAATTATAAAATTTTCGTGTGTTTATATTATTTCACTAATTTTTTTAAAAAATTGTTTGTGCTATTAGCCCAAAATCTATGAGAATATCGTATCATTTCAACTAAAAATATGTAAAAATAATAATAATTAAGAAGTATTTTTTTAATTCATTATTTTCTCTCTTTTCCTGTATTATCTCTTTCTATATTGTAGATGCCCCATACTTGCAGTGTGAATATTATAAACTTTCTCATTGATTCAGGCATTAAAAAGCCTTGTTAGATCCCTGGATCGAACATCTTTATTAAAATCTCTTTTTTTAGTATGATGGAATTTATCAATTCATCCAATTTCATCATGCATGTTGATATCTTATTCAAAATCAATCTTAATCCGAGTTTTCAAATCAATTATTAAGTTTAACAAATTTTCAATTGAAAAAAAAAAAACTCTACCAGTTTAACAATTTTTCAATTGAAAAAAAAAAAACTCTACCCTTTCCATTTTATTTTATTTTATTGGACGGGGCTAATATATATATATATATAAACATACACATGAGAATATAAACATCAATCTCTTTTAAATTTCAATTGCATTGCTGAATGTTTAATATTGTCATAATTAATCATCATAGTTGCATTTCAAAGAACACAAGACCGGATGTTTGGTAATGTTGAGCCAAAGGATGAATATAACCTCCATAAATTACTACTTGATATATAAATTAACATTACTACTTGATATATAAATTAACAATGTTGATTAAATAATATATTTATTTGATCACAAATTTAAATAATATATCGATGAATTAATAAATTTTCGTGCTGGAAGTATAGTTAATTTCACTTGCATTATATGTATTGAGAGATCACAAGAGTTAATCATGGAAAGAGATCTTTTCAAGGTTACCCTAAGTAGTTAATTAAATATTTTTCGGCGCATTAAACATTCATATGGTTTTAACAAATCACAAGATGGTTTAATTCCGAGTCCCCTTTTAATTTCAGTCTTGCATCAATGATCCAGCATATATAGAATATTGCTGATAAAAAAACGACAAACAACAAGCTTTGGGGGGATTCGTAACTATTTTTTATAGGTTTAATGGTATATTTGTTTCCCTTAAACTATTGAGTTTGTGGTAAATTGAGGATTATACTATTAATTTGATCAATATTTTTCTTGAATTATCATGTTCTAGAAAAATATTATCTCACCATTTGATTTTGCTATTGGTATGACCAAAAATCCCCCTTTAAATTTGTCATATTTTGGTATTTTTAAATTAATATTTTCATAAATGCGAATGAAAATATTCAATCAACTTTGAATTGAAATTGGGAAGTATTTTTTTATATTCTATAAAATAAAAATTCAATAAATTAGAAAAATAAAAAAATAAGCTTGATTTTTTTTAAAATAATATTTTGAAAATCTTGCTATGACTAAGAAGATAAATTTTATATGATTTTTCTAAAACCCCCAACAAGATTTCAGATCATTATAAATTATATTTTTTAATTCTTTATATTTAATGTTCAAGAAACATTAAAAAAAATGCTTCTAGACCTAAAAAATTTTAAATTTCTTTTTAATAGTAGATTGAATTTTTACTAGTATATATATGATATAAGTTTCGACTCAAGATATCAAAAATTGAATTTTTAAACGAGTTTTGGTCAATAATAACATTCAAATCAAACGAAGGAATAATTAATATCTACACAAATCATGATAATTCAATATAAAATTGACCAAATTGATAACACATGCCCAAATATGCCAAAACCCTAACACACACACACACACACATGTTAGGTTTATATTAAACATAACTTCACATGCATCCTTTATGTGATCATAAGCAAATCTGCTCTTCTGAAGAAATTCCAAACGTCTAAGATAAAATCATATACGCAGGCATGTGTTCATGCTGCATATATGCTGGAACTTGTTGCATGCGAAGATGATGAATGCCATGGACAATGAATTTGCTTCATAGGAAAAGCTGCTTTCTGCATTTATAAACATGAGTCAAATCTATTGATTAATTAAGCGTGGAAAAGGTGATGAGCTCTTAATTTGCTTTCTGCATATCTATTGATCTTCAGTTGCAGCATGCTTTCTGACATGTGAATGTAGCAGGAGACTGGTCAGTTAATTGTGATCTATTTAGAAATTCTTTTGATAAAAACAAATGGATCGTTGGAGATCCAGGGTTATATTTTTTTTATTATATTTTTATCTTATTAAATCTACGTTACTGCATTTGATTTAAGATTTTCAAACCTCAATTTCAAAAAAAATAAAAATAAAGTAGATGGTCTGACTTAAAATTTTTAGAGTTTCAAACCTCAATTTCAAAAAAAAATAAAATAAAGTAGATGGTCTGACTTAAAATCAGTCATATCTTCGTGGATACTTGGCCTAATAGAATATCACTGTATTTTTTTCAAGAAAATTAGAAAAATAAAATATAAAAAATGAAATTCGTGTTCAAATATCATATTTTTATTGTTATTTTTTAAAAAATGTTTCTCCATTTCTCCATGACAGAACTTGAAGTCAAAAAATATATCCATTAAAAATAAAAAGGAAAACGCTCTTCTCCTTCCTTTTCCAGCTAAATAAATTGGATTCTCATGGATGAGCAAACAAGTTAAAGTCCAAAATGTGTAAGTCAAGCAAAACATGTATATTAATCAAGAAGGATCCATAATCTAGATTGAAGATGTTGTTTTTCTATTGTATATATAAACTCTTGCGAGCGCAAGTCTAATTCGAATGTAAAGATGCCCACATGCATCTGCAGTACTAGTTCATTTACCATTAATTCAACAAAAATCTAGCTAGCGAAATGCATGCACCCCATGAATTATGATTTGCTGGATGCAATCTGTCTTCTCTTTCGTGATCTGCAACTTATAGAGAGGAAACTAGAAAGGAAAGAAAGGAATTGTAAATGAATAATTTGATTAAAGGAGCTTGTCTGTCAAAGCTATGTACTGTAACCAACCTCTCAGCATCAGAAGAAACTCTGCAGGTGAGAAAGGAGAGAGATGGAGAGATATATGGGCAAAGAGCCTGCATTAAGATAATAAGAAAGCCATCAAAGAGAAGGGATCAATATTCCATCCAGTGGAATTCAGAGAATTTTGTTGTAAATATATTTTGGAGAGCCGTTCCTGCCAGCCATCGTATATATAGACAACTAGATCCTCTAAATAATTTTTCAGGGCTTTCTTGAACTGTTTTTGTGACAATTCTTCTCCATGGAAACCGTCTTCCAGTCTTGTAAAAAGCCATTGATAATATATACAGTTCAAGAAAGCCGTGGAAAATCACCAAGAGACCCATATCCACAAGCCGTGCTCGCCTTGAGATATACATGTGTACATAAATATATAGGACAGCAAGTACCTGGTCTTCATTTTAACCAAAATGATATATATATATATATATATATATATATATATATATAAATATAGCAGCGTGGCTAAGTCTAGCTAGCTAGTAGGGAAAAGGGTGGGAGTGAAAATGATTTTTAACTCTTGGTAATTAAATATCTTGTTTAACCTTATTTAGATAAAAAAATTTATGACGAACATAAAATTTATGAGATATCTTCTTTTATATATATATATATATAGGACAGCAAGTACCTGGTCTTCATTTTAACTGAAATGATATATATATATAAATTTGGTTAATTATAGTGCAGTTAAATATGTATAATAAAACCTAAGCAAGAGAAAGAAAAAAACAATTACGCACATAATAGTTACATAAATTTGCTACGTAAAATTTAAGAAGCAAAGATTAACCATAAAACTATTAATTATTTTCTTTCTCAAATTTCTAAATAGCTTATAAATAAGATTTTTGAATTGAATAATTAATTTATTCTAATAATTTTATTTATTTTCTCTTATTACGATTGTTGATAATTTATATGTAATACTTAGTAGGTTATGGTTACTTGTGACTAATACTTGTAAAAAAAAAATTTGTGAGAGTAAAAACTTTTTGATATTTAAATAAATATTTTTTGAAAAAAAATATAATAATATTCTTACTCTAAAATAGAGAACGAAAATTATAAAATTTTATTTTGAAGATCTTATTATCTATTTATAGTACATTAATTATTTTTTTTATGTAGATGAAGGACTTACATATAATTTTACTTTTATAATATTTTAAATTATATTATGAGTTATATTCCACTTATTTGTTAAGAAATAATTCCTCAATAATTTTATATAATTTTTTTTAAAATTACTATTATTAGATCCAATAATTTCTATGAGTCTGGTTAATGTCAAACCCAACACATCCAGTGCTTAGTATATTATTAAGTCTCGTTATAATTGACTTTGTTAATTATTTATATGAATAATAAAATTAATTTTTTTAAATTAAATTGTTTTTTATTTTTTTATTTTATTCTTAAATTTTTTTAATAATTATTTAAATTAGCTTTGGGACAACTCAATTCAATTGAATCATATCATGACAGCACATTGTACTGTACACAATATAGAGTTTTAAAGTAGACTTTTCATAGCACGATGAAAAAAATTACTCTCCAATTCTTCGAACCACGGGGCTCCTCCAGGTGTTGCCTTTTCCCATGATAAATGTTCCGACATTTATGATTTGAATATCAATTTCAGGTTTTAAATCGTTGTCACGAGCTACTGTTTATTCTCCTTTTTCATCTAGATTTTTCTCCTTATGAATAATACTTGGTATCTCTATGTAGATTGTGGGTGTTTAATAGTCTTGTAACTTCAATCAACAAGGCTGGTAGCTGGCGGCCCGTTGTCGTTCATCTGGACGCCTCAAATGCCTCTGTATATGCCTGAGATGTAATCGTTCAAAATTTAAAATAACATAGAGTTTTCTTTATCATTCAGATCATTGAAAATGTTGTCTACTGTCTTAAAATCCATCTTACAGTATTCTCGATCATCTTTATAAAATAATTTTTGGTACTGTGATAGGGTTAAAATATTTTTTATTTTAAAATATATTGAAATAATATCTTATTATTTTTTAAAATTTATTTTTAATATCATCACATTAAAGCTATCTAAAAATATAAAAATAATTTAAAATAAAAAATATCTTGAATTTTTTTAAAAATATTTTTAAAATTAAAAAGAAAAACAAGATATAAACTGTGGAGTAACTGTTTTGGCTCGGAATACAAAATTAGTACATGAAGTAGGTTGGACTACCATGGTAATAAATCTTCTGCCTCGTTTTGCACGCTAATCATGCTTCCTGTCAGAAGGATTTTATTTTTAATATTATCATATTAAAGCTATTTAAAAATATAAAAATAATTTAAAATAAAAATATTTTGAATTTCTTTTAAAATATTTTTAAAATTAAAAAGAAAAACAAGATTTAAACTGTGGAGTAACTGTTTTGGCTCGGAATACAAAATTAGTACATAAAGTTGGTTGAACTACCATGGTCATAAATCTTCTGCCTCGTTATGCACGCTAATCATGGCTTCCTGTCAAAAGGATTTTAAAGTTCTATGTACGGTGCTGGTATATATTATAGTAATTATTTTTTATTTAAAAATATATTAAAATAATATTTTTTATTTTTAAAAAGTAATTTTTAATATTATATCAAACAAAATTTAAAATATAAAAATTAATTTTACATATTTTTTTCCAGCCACCACAACGCCAAAAAAAAACAAAAAAAAAAAAAAAAGCAATCTAAACTAGTGTTCGGTATTTAGGGACGATTGGCGTGGCCATGTAACTATTGTTTTGTCAATTGTTTTATTTATTTTTTGTTGTAAATTATATATATATTTGAATTATTTTTATATTTTAATATTAAAAATAATTTTTAAAAATAAAAATATATATTATTTTAATATATTTCAAAATAAAAAATAATTTAAAAACAAACCTTTATTACTATATTAAACACCTATTCAGATAATAATTGTTTTTTAAATTATTTTTTGTTTAGAAATATATTAAAATAATATTTTTTATTAATATTAATTTAAAAAAAAATTATTTTTACAAAAAAACATGATATCACAGTAAAAGTAAAAACAAGAAGGATTTGAATATATTTTTTATGTTAAAAAAAACTTTATATACAACCTGTAGCGAAAATGTGGATGGATAAGATATCAACTTATTTATATTTTCATGTTTATAAAATAAAATAAAATAAAAAAGATGGTGTAATTTTTCTGACTGATTCATGCGAGCTAGAAACAACGGTTATTGTTCATGTGCTGGAGTCCCACTGGAACATCTGAGATGTTATTTTAAAAGAGATAAATTGTATAGTATAAATATGTTTTTTTTTATTATGTATATTTCAATGTAAAAAGTTATTTGAAAAGTTAAAAGTGAAAGAAATAAATACTTTATATATTTTTTTAATGAGTTTGATATTATTTTTTTACATAATTATATTTAATTGGTTTATTTTTTTTATGATCGTACTTTATTTGTTTTGATTTTTTTTTAAAATATAGAAATAATATCTAAAAAAAAAATTGACGTTTTATTTATCACTTCCTTTTAAGCATGCAAGACATGCATGTAAGAGTAAAAATAAAATATTTTTATTATTTTTAGCTTTTCAATTTTCACAGTACCCCTTGAAGTTGCTCTTCAAGTTCAGCAGTGAATCATCTAAAAATATGATATATATTTTGAGAATGGTTTTAAAAGTGTTTAGAAATGTAATAATAATATTTTTAATATATATTTTTTTGTTAAAAAGTATATTATAATATATTTTTTATTTTTTAAATATTATTTTTGATATCATTATATCAAAATAATTTAAAAATATTAAAGAAACATTAATTTTTAAAAAAATTAATTTTTTTTTTCAAAATTACTTTTAAAAGGTCAGAAATAAACAGCCCTGACATGTGTATCTGCACCAAAGGTTTTTTGTCATGCCAAAGGTGTTTTTCATGCTTAGATTATAACAATTAAACCTGGCCTGGGTTATATAACTTGGTTAACTAGATAGATCAAAATAACGTGGTTTTAATTAATAATTTTATTTTTTTTAATACCAGGACGCCATGTATTGCCTTCGTAGGCAGCACTAGCCTCCAGGTCCAGGGGTATTTCTCCATTTAGATCTCAAAGCCGTACTGCAAAAAGTGAATTATTTGTTTTTACCATTTAAATTTGTTCTGCCAGTGATTTACTTTTTCATCAATGAGAATCTCTAATTCCATGTAATAAAGATTTTATATTAGTAATATAGATTTCTGCCTAACTATTATTAGATAGCTTCTTCTGCTGCTGCGGTTTGGAAAAAAAAGACATTTTTTTTAAGTTATAAATTTAATGTATCTCTAAATCCAAATCTTTTACACAAAATTTTGAGTTCTTGAACTCCATAAATACTTTTCATAATCAAATAGATTTTAAAATTATGGTTAGAGTAAAAGCATCGCCTCCTCTATGAAAATAAAAATAAAAAGGAGGAGGAGTCGTCTAGTTAAAGCACATCCAAACCCAACTGGCTAATTAATTCAAGATAATACAGAAGAAATTGATGGAGTTACGACCAACATGAGAAAAGTACACGAGTCCTAGGCAAACGGGCTTGCCAAGTTTTTTGAACAAATCACAGATAATGTAGCCCTGCCCTTCCTCTAAGACGTTTTTGGAATGGACGAGAAACCCTTTAGATCTTAAACCCAGCTAGAAGATCATACATCAAGCAACATGCCGCTCTTACAAGCTGCTGCCCAAAACAGAAACAATAATACGGGCCAGTGCCAGAATCATCCTTCATCAGCATTGGAAACCAGGAGGGATGGATTTGCCACATGCACTAACAATTGCACTGAGCGCGACGGGCACGTTCAAGTTGGTTCCAAGCACATTAGCTTTAATGGCAGTGCAAAGACACAAGGCAACTTCCATGTCAGCCAAGCCCTCAAGCAAACTGCAGCACTTGCTGCGAGGTGGAGTTCCAGCAACAACATTAACAGGTCCAAGGAGGTCAGCACAGACCCCTAGCTTCAACGTGTCTTTAGGACAAGTTGGTGCTGTTGGGGGGGAAGGCTTTGGCTTGGGGTGGCAAGGATCGCAAGCACTGGAAAATGTTGAGAGAAAAAGAAGGGAGAAGATCAAAATGGTGGCAATGAATTTCTTGGAAGCCATAGCTATAGATAGAGTACTAGCTAGTACTGCTACTGAATATCAAGTGCTTAGTGGGATTCTGGGGGAGAATTGCCTCTTTTAAAGGATAATTGTGAGGTGGGAATTGTGAGATAGATATTTGTGGAAGAGAGCAGAAAGGGCTGATAATGTACCTGCCATTTTTTTGTATGCATATGGAAAAGAAGCTGTATGCTTCTGCTCTGGTCCTCAGATATTAGCTTGTAACTAGCCCTGTTCTGGGTCAAATCTTGAAATGCCTATGCAGAGGTCTGTGCCCTGGATGCTGATGTTTGTCATTCCGTGATAATAGTAATGAAGAGTGGTAATTATCATTTTTTAAAATATTTTTTATTTAAAAATATATTAAAATAATATTTTTTATTTTAAAAAAATTATTTTTTATATTAACTCATCAAAATATTATAAAAACACAAAAAAATACCAATTTAAAATAAAAAATATATTTTAAAACATAAAAATAAACAAATTTTTATAAAAATATATATGGAAGAGTTATTTTGAGCTCTTTCCAGTCTCAAGGACCTCCTAGGTATTTTCAGTTTTTATGGTAATTTGCACATGCTTGGCTAAAAAATCCAGAGCATAAGAGAGTTGTTGTGAAATTCTTTCTCGATTGATCACTAAGATCATATTAGAGGTGTTTTTTAAAGTTTTTTTTATTAAAAAATATATTAAAATAATGTTTTTTATTATTAATGTCAATATATTAAAACAATAAAAAAATATTAATTTAATTTTTATAATATTTAAAAAAAAAACATATAATTCAACCGTACTCCCAACCATGCCTAAATTCAAGTCTCAAATCATGTTTCAAGAAGTGAAATTTTAGTAGATTCTTTTATAGATCTTGATTGGGATGAAGCAGTTCCAATGATGCTACCAATCCACGCATGAAGAAGAGAGACTTTGAGGTAATCACACTTTATCAGCTAACATATGCATTTTGCAAATTCTTTATTACTATTATTTAAATTCTCAATATATATAAATGCTACACAGCTAGTTCGTATCATTCATAGTTACTATTATTTTTCTAACTTTGCTTCGAGATTTGTAAGATTTAAACGAGATAAAATTGGATGGTTATTATTTTTAAATTAATATTTTGTAGTGTTTTATTATTATTATTATTGTGATGTATTAATATTAAAAATAAATAAAATAATAATTTTAATATATTTTTAAATAAAAAATACTTAAAAAAATAACTTATATCACAATTCACAATATTAAACACACAACAATATGTGAAAACTTTCACTTAGTTTATCATCATGAAAGCCTTATTGCACTTCCATGCAAAAATTTTTTAAGTTGTGTTGAAACAATGAACAAATCTAATAAAAATATTAAAATTATCTCAAAATATAATTATGAATATCATTTTATCAGTATAACAGTTTGAAACTTCTTTCTAATGGTGTGTTTAGACTGTATTCTTTTAAAATTTAATTTTTTATTTAAATTTAAATTTTTTTATATATTTTTCAAATAATTTTGATATGCTGAAATTAAAAATAATTTTTTAAGAATAAAAAATATCATTTTAATATGTTTTTAAGCAGAAAACACTTTAAACCTTAACAACTATCACATTTTAAAACACAACAAATAACATCCAACCACACCATGCAACCTTTAGACGGGATCTATTTTAAGGTGGTTGAGAGTGTCATATTTTTTTGAAGTTTTTTTTTATTTTTAAAAAATTATTTTGACATTAATATATTAAAATAATTTAAAAATACTAAAAAAATATTAATTTAAAATAAAAAATAATTTTTTAAAAATAATTTTAAAATATAAAAACAAACTAAGTGATACATTTTTAGTTTCAAAACCTTCTTTTCTTTACTGGACAGGAGAAATGGGCCTAAATTAAGATAGAAGACCTTCTTTCCTTTACTGGGACAGGAGAAATGGGCCTAAATTAAGATAGAAAGATGAGAGGAAAGAAGGGGAGATGTTTTGAAGAGATTAAAGCAAAGGCAAAGGTGAGCGGAGAAAGGAAATTTGATTTTATCAAACAGTTTGAAACTTTTCTCTAATAGTGTTTTTAGACCGTGTTCTTTTAAAATTTTATTTTTTATTTAAAATTAAATTTTTTATATTTTTAAATTATTATGATGTGATGATATCAAATATTATTTTTAAAAAATAAAAAATATATTATTTTGATATACTTCCAAACAAAAAATATTTTAAACCTGAATTACTGTTACATTTTCAAACATAACAAATAACAAGTTAATCATATCATACAACTTTTGAAAGAGATTTATTTCAAAATGTTTGAGAGTATGATAAGAATAACTTTTCAAAGTGTTTTTTTATTTGAAGATATATTAAAATAAAATTTTTTATTTTAAAAAAATTATTTTTAATATCATCATATTAAAATAATTTAAAAATTAAAATTAAAATTAATTTAAAATAAAAAATTAATTTTTTTAAAAAACATTTATAAAACACAAAAACAAACTAATTGTGTTACATTTTCAGTTTCAAAACTTTCTTTCCTTCGCGGGGACAGAAGAAATGGACCTAAATTAAGATAGAAAGACGAGAGGAAAGAAGGGGAGATGTGTTTTGAAGAGATGAAAAGAAAGGCAAATGTGAGAGGAGAAAGCAGAGGGAAAGAAAGGGAAAGGGAAAAAAGAGAAAGTAAATAAAATCGATTTATAAATATTTTACTTTTTAAAAAATAATTAAAATTTAGTGCTAGCCCGGTATCTATTATATAAAATGTAATTTTGTAGAATATAAAAGTAAAGTGTTACTTCACTGGGATAATCGGGGTAATAAAAAGAGATCCCCTCATCATTAACGAGACATTAAATGAACATTTTCAAAAAACAATAAACAAAATAAATGAGCAGTTATAAAATAAAAAAAACTGAGATGTCAGCATCTTATTAATTGTGTATATACAGACACTGTCCATGTATGGGAAATTGCTATTTCCCTTGTTTTCCTGGGAAGATACTTGCTTAGAAAATGATGGATTGCCTGTAATTTCGAGTAGAAACAGGAGGATTTTCCTATATATTGAAGATTTCTGGACTTTTAATTTCTTTTTTTTGTTACTCCTTCATAAATAATCTGTACGAAATCCAATTGATTTTTTTTTTTAATAGCTATTCTCTCGAGTGGATGACAAAGACTCAGTCAATAGGTTGGATTATTGAGTTGTCAGATCAATCTGAACCTATTATAAAATAACATTGGTTTTGTTGATTTTTAATGAAATGATATTTTGTAATAAAAATAAAAAAATAATTGAAGCATGTTATTTTATTTTTTATTTTTAAAAATTATATTTTGTAGTAATATATAAAAAATAATTTAAATTATTAAAAAAATTAATTTTTTAAAATAAATTAAACCGACAACTTAACACAACAAGTATCTGTAATTACAACTGTTTTACAGGGACAGCTGATCTCACTTGACAGAAACCGAAGCTCGATAGTTTTGCCTAGCCGGATGGGTCATGGCTTGTCCCTCTGACCCAGTAGTTACCTGTCTAGGTCAGGGGATGGTTCTGTTCAGAAGAAATGTTTGTCAAGAGGGTCCGGTTCGTGAGAGAACACTACATGTACGGACACACAACTTTCTTGTTCCCTTTCTTTTCTAGGAAAAATGGCGTGTGATGCATTAAAATAGTTTGTCGTGTGATGCATTAAAATGCACATGTTGAATTTTTTTAATAATTTATTTAAATATTCACAAAAAAAATTAAATTTATGATATTAATTATATATGAAAATATAAAAAATAATTGTAATCTCTTGCATTGCTTAAAAAGTGTTTATATATATATATATAAAACTGTATTATTTATATTAATAAAACAACAAAAAAATTGTAAAAAAATCCAAAGAGAACCTCCAAATATATTCTTCAAAATTACCATGAACTTAATTATATATATTAATTTTATTTTTTAAATTAAAGTATTACAAGAAGGCTCTATGATTTTCACATGCCCTAACCACCTTCACACAAAACAAACCTGAAATTTGCTAAGTATAAGAATTTGTTGCAATGTTCCATTATCTTGCATTATTCATGTAAAATTTAGTCATTTATGAACGTTATGGAAAAAAATAAATAAATGGAATTGACGTAAAATTATAGTAATCTTCCATTATCATAGACAAAGATATTTATAGATATTTTTTAAATAAAAATTATTATAGAAATAAATTTATTTTTATATTCTATATTCTTTTAATCGAATATATTTTGAGACACTGATTAAAATGCAATCCAATCCAATCTCACCCAGTTAATAATTAATAATCAATTAATAATACGTATCCCACTAAATTCCCTTCCCCTTCCCTCGGTTTCTTCTGTTTTTTACAACAAGTAGGCTCACCACTTCCCTTTCAATTCTTAATCTATAGCTACAAACTAATTAAAAATAATAAGAAAGGATACTCCTTCCAACAGAGAGAAAAATCGATCGTTCATTAGATCCCAATGGCGATCCTGTACGCGCTAGTGGCTAGGGGATCGGTGGTGCTAGCGGAGTTTAGCTCTACAGCAACGAACGCAAGCGCGATTGCTAGGCAAATACTGGATAAGATACCTGGCAATGATGATAGCAACGTCTCTTACTCTCAAGATCGTTATATTTTTCATGTTAAACGCACCGATGGCCTCGCCGTTCTTTGCATGGCCGATGATACCGCCGGCAGTAAGATTTTTTTCAATCCCCTTGTTTTTTTTTCCACTTAATTTCGCATGAATTAATTTAATTTTTGTTAATTACGGATTTTAGGATCTCAGTTACGATTTCTTCGTTGTGATTATGTTATGTGTTGCGTTGGATGACATTTAAAGAAACATGGGATTTTTGGACTTGAGCTACTACGCATGTTGGAGAATTAGTTGAATTTGTTAGAAATTTCATAGCTTTGTCTAGTGGTATTATCACACTTGTTTGTGGGCAACTGAAATTAAGTTTATCTCATCGTCTAGGCGAAGACTAGGAATCATATTTAGCAAACCCAACCTAGAGTTCGACTCGGCCAAGGCCCATGTTGCTGATCGGCCAGGTCAA